GCCCCCCTGGGCCCCGGCCCCGCTGCGCCGCCGCCGCCCCCCGGACACAGACACGGACACGGCCACGCACACGCCCGCCGCCGCCTCCAGCGATCCGGGCGCCGCACGCCCGGCACACCACCAAAGTTTGCCCGAAAGTTTCAATGCATGATCCCAGCTTCGGGCGGGCTGCCTGCCGGCCCGGCCTGCTCTGTCCCTTGGCAGGAGCCGGGGTCCAACACGGGGAGAGGAGCGGGGGTGGGGGTTGATCCCAGCCTCGGGTGCCTGGAAGTGGGGAGAGGGGGCTGCCTGGCTCGCCCTCCTTGCTCCCCTTGCTCTGGCCACCGTTTGCAAAAGGAATCAAAAAACAAAACAAAAAAAAAGGAGAGAGGGAGAGAGGAACAATCCGAGCTGTGCCGGCAGGGAGGGAGGGAGAGAAAAATAAATTGAGCGGATAGGAAGAAGAAGCGGGGGGGAGACCAAACTGCTAGCAAATCCCGGTTCACAAGGAGAGCCGCTCCTCCTAAATCTGCTCTCGTCCCTCCTGTGCGGATCTGTGCTGTCCCTCTCCCTCCTTCCTGGGGGAGAGCCTGCACTGCGCTGGGTCCCGCACGCCGGGCAGAGCAGAGCCGCGCACCCTCTGTCCTCCCGCTCTACGCCTCTCTCCTCGCTCTCCCTCTGCAACTGCTCCGCGGTGCTATGACCGAGGAGATCTAAGAGTCCCTCCCCCAGCTCCGTCCCCTCCCTCCGTTCCTCCCCCTCTTTCAAGGGAGGGGCATAATAGCACCCTAAAGCCCCCAGGTCCTAGGTCTGTCAGACTCCTGGAGCAGCAGAGGGCACCGGGGCCTCAGCTCCTGTTACCCAAGCTCTGGCTGCTTCTCCCCCCCTTTTTTTTTGTTCTGTTTTGCTCGCTGCGGGCAGGGATTCCAGTTGTTTCCAGAGAGGGGAGAAGGGGTTACCCCCCCACCCCACTTCCCGCTCTCCAGCAGCCTACCTAGACTCCTGGCACCCCTGAGCAAATTTGTAGTATCAGGCCTCCCCTGGCCAGAAATAATGATAATAATTATCAAAAAAATTACCATTTTCAGGCCCCCTTTCTGTCCAGGGCCACCCGGTTCACGCATGCCAGTGTCCAGCCTTGCCAAAGGCATTCTGTCCCTAAGAGCTTCTCATTTCTGAACAGCTTGAGCAGGGCTCTGAGTAGTCCCTGCTCCCCATGTAGGTTTTACTCGCCTCTTGCCCCACGTGAAGTCCCTTCTCTGCTCCAAAGAGGCATGTGCACACGGAGTGGGTGGGCAGCTGAAGCACCCACACGCTGTGGCGGGTGAGCTAGCATGCTCTCAGACAAACCTCAGTTCGCTTTCTGGAAATATGTTTAAGGGAAAAATGCAGTTTAGACTAACTGGGGCCACCACACATTCCCCAATCAAGCTCCTTGACTCTTGCCACCCACAGTATTTCATCACCAGGGGATACTATTTCTCTCCCTTCTCTCTCTCGTAATGATTTGTACACGTAAAATAGAAACTGAAATATCTCCGGTCACTGTCCTCCACAAGTCTTAGGTACTGGATGGATTCAGGGCCAGCTTTTCAGGCGCACCACAGATTGGGAGAAGGAGACCACGAAGGAGAGCAGGATGGGGAGGGCAAAGCCTTATAATCATCAGAAAGCAGGTATTTCCAATACTGTGCCACAGGCCTGTGATGATGAAACAGGCTAAATATTGACTCTATAGAGGCACCTGCTGGTTGAGGGAAAGCAAAAAAAAATCTTTTCATTTGGTAGTTCTTAGATCTGTTCTTCCCTTTGTTTATGTTTGAAGCATTTTATGTTGCCTACTCAGGCAGCATTTGGCAACGTGGGGCCCAATTATGGCCTAATACTCTGAGATTAACCGGGGTTTTGTCCAAGTGAGGGCAGGACTTAGTTCTGCAGGATTGGGCTCATCATACAAACGGTGGGGCTTGCGGCAGAGGGGAGAGGTCAAAGCTGTTTGAAAGCCTGGGGAGGGATATAATCCCCTTTCCCTCAGGGATCACGTTCCTGCAGTGGGCTGATGGGGGTTGTTCAAACATTGCAAAAGAATCCCATCTTTTTTTCTAATTGTTACAGAGAGTCCTTCTGTGGCAGCAAATATCCATTAAAACAACTGGACTTTCCCGTATTTAGAATGTACTTGCCAAAAATCTCCTTAGGGAAGGGGGAGGCCGAGAGGCCTAAAGGGAAGGGGAGAGGATATTTCTCTAAATAAAGGTAAAGCCAAAAAAAAAAAAAAAGTCCCCAGAGCTTGGCCCTCATCCAGCGATGTTATGCGCTGCTCCCTTTATACAGAACCATTATCCTCTCTTGGCCCCAACACTGCTCTCCACGGGCAGCAAGAAACAGATAGCTGTGGCTGTGGAGAGAGCAAGCTACACGCATTTTTTCTTTACTCTAAATGGTTTCTTTTTTTCGAATGATTTTTTTTTTCATGAATGAATGTTGTTTTAAATCAAACAGTGTTACCAGTCCTCTGTCTGGGCAAAACTCACAAAGCCTGAAAGCCCCACGCAGGAGGGATCAGGACTGAAGGTCCCACACAGGGATCCATCACAATCATTTTTGATCCCCCTGTGGGGTCATATCCCTGAAAAGCTACAAAGAACTGCAAATAATATACAACATTTGAGCTTCTAAAATTACCCCTACCGCACTGCTCAGCTGGTCTTGTGTTTCATCTGGATCCTGTGGACCCCAGATGTGTCAACATCCTGTTACCCAAAAAACAGACAATGTGAAATTTGCACAAAGCTTTGTGTAATTCTGTGAATTCAGGCCCAAGCAAGGAGGTGTGCGAGCTTTCCCTTGTTAAAGTTATTCAATAACTGTTGTGGGGTGATTAGCCGTAAACATTTCAATGCTGCCAAGAGTTTTTATGATAACTGTCACACATCAAAAAAATAAATACATACCAGTGCTACATTTTCTGTATGGTTTTTAGTCTCTTTCTCAGGGTAAGAAGTCATAAACAATTGGAAGATGGGAAGAAGAAATCAGTGGCCAAGGTTTTAAATAATGGTTACCTAAAAATACTACCTTAGATTCAAAATGGCTGAGCAGAGACTTATATGAGAATCATTAGGTGCTGAGCACATTTGAAAAGGAGGCCGTAATTTCATACTTAATCCTGGACCACTGAAGTCAGCCCGAGCTTTGGCATTGACTTCAATGGGCATATGGTCAGGCCCAAATTAGGTGTTTACATATGAATTTAGAAGCCTAATTTTAGGCTTCCATTTCTAATTTTTTTTAATATTGACTGATGCTTCCAATGCCCCTCATTTAATCTCTCCATTAAGCATGAGAACATGGAAAGGTCAAGCTATTTTCAATAATTCTTCTGGTGGGCTTGAAAGAACCTGAGATTGTATGCTGAGAAGTAGGAGATCTATGAAATGCATTCCCATTGTTTTTACCACTTGTTCTCCCAAAAGAGCAACCTGAACAATTCTGAGGGGGTGCATCTACATGTTCATTAATGTGCCATAATTACAGCGCATTAAGTTTAGTACCTGTAATGACAGGTACTAACATAATGCGCCGTAATCAGTGCTACTGTGCATTAATGCAGATGAACGCTTTTTTAGTGACGTTAATGCACATTAGACTAAATCTACTGCACATTAGCACAGGGTTTTGCCCACCACACTAATGTGCAGTAGAATTAGTCTTCTGCACGTTAAGCATCTCATGTAGATACATCCAGGGAGTCCCAACCAATTTGAAACTAGAACAGAAAGTCTGAGAAACATAGACATTAAAAAACAAATGAAACAAAACAATATTTTCGTAGAATTCCATCTTGTGGGTGAGTCTGAGGGGATCTGCATCTGGATACTCTAAATTAGGAGAGAAGTCAGAACAACAAAGAGTAATTTTAAACATTTTAGTGCCAGAGGTATTTCTTCACACACAAATTACTCTCCAAGGCTGGAGCACAGCACCAGAAAAAGAAATGGCTTGATCAAGTTTATTAGCAGACCTGGAAAAAGGGCCAAAAAGGAGTAAGACTATTATAAATAAAAAAACAGTGAAGTTGACAGGTCTGAATCCTAACTGTTCAGAGGTATTTCAGGTGATTTTTTTTTTTACCTTAAGAAGATCACATCTATGCAACACATTCACTTGACAAGGGTAGAGCTGGCTGCTGGATGACAGCAAGGTAGCAAATCAGTCAACTGTTCCATTTTTTTCATGCATCAACAAAAAGGTATAACGAGCTTTCTGCAATGCTTTGCCAACACTCCCTCTGGTGTAGTACGGATAGAATACATGCAGCGGGCACTGGCAGTGCTAATACAGTTTTTGTTTGCAATCATTAGACATGCCCAAGCACCACCCACCGGCTTCACTTTCCTCTGTCACTCAGGAGTTTGTGTGAAGATCTTTAATTCCTAGAAAGAAAAAAAATGCACACTGCCGTCAACACTTCCACCCATTCTGTCATTAATGTTACATCCCAGATGGCTTCTTCCACTAGCAGACACTGATTCAGGAAAGGGGTTTGCTCCTCTTCCTTTATTTTCCTTTCCATATCTTTTCCTGTTCTTCTTTGTGCTACACTCTTAGGTATCAGAGACAGCAGCAATCAGTTGGACTGCATATGCTATGTGCTTTATTAATATAAGTGACACTAACATCTCTACTTTGATATACAGGTGCTCAGGTTGCATAGTGGTAAGCACAGATACAAGTTGGGCAGATGTTTAATGCCTTACCTGGGCTTACACTATATCCCTAGGAGCAAATTCTCTTGCAAAAGGCTCTGGTATTAATGAATTTGTCATGAAAATAATTTGGACTAATTTTCCTCCTGTTACTTGCAGCCCATATTTTATACTACCCATGTTGGTGATAATGTACATGAAACTGTGTGTGAAAACCAGCAGCTAAATTTGGGGGAGCTATCTGGATTTTTAAGCTGACTAGCTTGATGATGACTGAAGTTCCCGGATTCTGGACCCATGTTGCTTATTGAAAGAAATGGAATTCAGCATCATTTTTTATAACTTTTATTAAAACCATTAAACAAAAATAAAATCAAGGCAACATATCCTCAAAGCCAAGCTACTGTTAATAATATTAAAGTAAATTAAGCACAAAATGAAACACTGTTAAAATCAAGATCAAATTAGTATCGAATTAGAGTAACACCATCAGATTAGATCATCATGTTAATGAGATCATCATATTAATGCAACAAATAATCATCCTTTATGAGTCCTAAGAAAAGATCTAAGGTGGTGGCTTTTGGTTATAAACCCCAACTCAAGAATTTTAAAAACATATCTATAACTTGGAAGTGATTAAATATTTTGATGCTGAATACGTTGGTGTGTGACTCATAACTCTTTTGTATCAAAGTTAGCATATAATACCTTTAAACTTCTTAGTACTTTTAAATATAGAATGCCGAACACACGTCAATGAACATGTTAACAGGGCTGTTTACACCTGGAGAATTTTCTCCCTGTTGCCATGGCTGTGTGATGTGTAGATACTATAGGTGCTTATATCCATTTGCACACACTTGCATTTTTTCACACTAAAATTAGGGAAGAAAAGGCTGGAATGTTTCCCAACTAATAAATACAATCAGGTAATAATGGAGGAAAAAAATTTAAAAATAAGATACTTTAGATGACATGGGTTTTGCAAACCAGGTCTCTTAGACCGCTGGACACTCATGGCATAGGATTTGGAACTGCAGTCAAGAGACTACCTGTGATACTGCTCTACGCAACTTGCTTCAGTCCATTTTGAATTAGGTCTTCCTTAGGTAGCATAAGCTCTTGGACAGGCCATTTAGGCCAATAATTCAGAAGAAAATAGGTATTTTATGTACCATAGAGATTGAAAGCCACAAGATACCCCTACCACTTACATATAAAAAAAAATCACATATTAAAACACTTCTGAGGAAGCGGACAGAGACTTATCTGGATGAAAGGTCTTTGGCTAGGAACAGAAATTACACATCAATTGGTATATGTGACCAGAAACTGGTTCAAATCTGTGACACAACGGAAATTCAGTGCGCATAAACCACCTTCAAAATGTCTAAAACAGATTTAAGACAAACCTGGACTGATAGAGTATCAGATTTAACTGATTTAGGTTGAAC